CAAAACCCAAAGTCACATGAAGTAATGAATCCGGATAAATTTCACATGCGAAAAATATTAGAAAAGGATTTTCCACAGTTCGATGGCAGTCCCCAAAATTGGCTCCTGTTTCATAAGTATTTCAAGAATCTTCGCGAATTTTGTGATTACAGCAATGAAGAGATCATGCTGAAGCTGCAGAGATGTTAATTGCCGATAACGTGATGTGAGCGAAACGGTTCGGAAGACCTGAATACATCATAGATACTTTGATGAACAGAATCGGTATCCTTCCTTCCGTAAGAGAAAATAACTTTGAAAAGCTGATTTATTATTCTGCAGAGGTGAGCAACATGGTTTCGATCATGAAGAATCTAGGAAGTAAACGTTATCTCGAAAATCCTTAATTTATCCGAGAATTACTGACAAAAATTCCGGATTCAATGAAATTATCCTGGAGCGAAAAGATGGGAATGAAAAAGGGTGATATTAATTTAGAAGATTTCTCTTTTTGGTTAAACGAGAAAGCAAGCTTTGCGTGTAATGTTAGTACCCCACGCAATGAAACATTCTCACAGAAATTCACAAATCAAATGAAGAGAAATGAAAGAGTATATGCAATACTCACACCCAAAACACTCACAAAATCCACTGCGACAAAATCCACCAAGAAAGTATTTATCCACAGATGAATTATGATGACTTGAATAAGAGATGGGAAACGGTAACCGGAAAAAAACTATGTTTCAGTTGTCTTCAAAAGAATCATAAAAAATTCAAATGTGAAAAGAGGAAGAGATACTAATGACTTTATTTAGTCTATATACAAAGCTAATGATGATAATCGAGGAAGAGTATGCTCTGTCAATAAACCTTTTACTACGATTCTTCTGAGAGTGATTCGTATAAAATTATACGGTCCACGAGGTGATTCAACACCTCGTGGACTCGCTCTTAATGATGAGGCGTCTACGGTGACACCATTAGATGCAGAAGTAGCAGAGACACTTGGGCTAACTGGAACGAAGGAATCACTTTGTCTACAATGGACAAACGAACATATCATGATTGAAGAAAATTTCGTTCGTTTAGATGTGACTTTTTCCAGAATTGATGATGACAGCAGGAAAGAGTCCGAACTGTCACTCATATGTCGTTACCCGAACAACACATCAACATATCCGATTGGAAAAAGTTTTCACATCTAAAAGGTGTTCCAATAAAACATATCGATCACGAAAAACCTTCACTGCTTATTAGACAAGATAACATACATCTGATATTTGCGAGACAGATAGGAACCGGCCCAGGAAATCTTCCTGTAGCCAGGAAATGTAAGTAGTCCAAATAGCAGGGAAAATTCTTTCAAAGCCCATACTTTACACATTTGTGAAAAGGAGACGACCGATGAAGAGCTGCAGAAGATGGTAGAAAAATCTTATCTGACTGAAACATTTGGTACTTTGATCGCAGCAGACTAACCATCTTGTGAAAGTTCAAAGTCATAAGAACAGATGAGAAACACCTTAAAGTATACCGGAAAAAAACTACAAAATTGGCTTGTTGTGGAAAACCGATAACATACAGCTACCTGAAAGTGAATTCATCACACTCCAAAGACTAAAATGTGTCGAAAGAAAATGTCGTCGGAACAAAAAAATTGGGAAGGAATATTGCAAAAAAATTATGGAATATGAAGAGAAAGGATATATAAAGAAGTTGAGCTTCGAGGAAAAGAAAATTGATAATCCTCATCTTTGGTATCTTCCTCATTTCGCTGTAGAAAATCCCAACAAACCGAATACAATCAGGCTAGTCTTTGATGCCGCAGCAAAATCAAGAGGTATGAGCTTAAATGATGCTCTACTCTCTGGTCCAGATTTGTAGCAGTCATTGGTTGTAATTTTATGGAAATTTCGACAAAGGCGATTCGGTTTTTGTGGAGATATTTGAGAAATGTTCCATAGAGTAGGATTACAAGAACGAGATAGGTGTGCTCAACGATTCCTTTGGCGAAATTTGGAAAGCGACAGGCCTCCTGATATTTACCAAATGTTGGTCATGACTTTTGGAGCAACCTGTTCGCCCGTATGTGCTCAAAAACACCGAAGAAGAAGCACTAGAAACGATAATAGAAGTATGCAAAGTTCAGAAGGTTGGGGGATTCTAAGTAGTCACCTAGATGACGACCACCCAACTGATTCCAGATAAGCTATCTGATAATATGTTACTGACGGCTACAAACAATATTAGGCTTATGGTGGGATCTCGGAAACGACGAATTTTCCTAAAGATTTTGCGAGCTTTGATGTCGGTATACGACCCGCTAGGTTTGATCTCTACTTTCAGGGTGAGAGGCAAAATACTGATGCAAGATATTTGGTGAGTAAGAATCGATTGGGATGATTTGTTACCTGAAGATCTTCTCATTGCTTGGAAAGATTGGTTGAGTGACATGGAGAAAATTGTACAGATTAAAATTCCAAGATGCTACAGTCCATTGATTCCATCAGCATTACGAATCGAAATTCACATATTTTGTGATAGTAGTGAGAAAGCATTCTCAGACAGAATTGATGTTTGTCTTATCTCAGCGAAAACGAGAGTTTCTCCTCTGAAATTTCTTTTTTTCCCTAGGCTTGAGCTCCAGGCGGCAGTAATGGCCAGTCGGCTGTCTCATCTAATAAGGAATGAACTCGAGTTCCCCATAGATGAAATGTTTTATTGGTTCTACTCATCATGTGTCTTACTAGAAATCGTTCGTATCACATCGAATTGATGAAATTCAAGAATTGAAAAGTATAGCAGAATGGCGATGGGTCCCATCGCGGATCAAGCTATACGCAGAAAAAAAATCGACAGAGTCTGTTTAAAAAAATCTGTCTAAACTCTGTTTTTCCGTTAATCAGCTGTCGCTCCCATACGAACGACAACTCTCAGAAGTTGAGAAACTTGTCCGAGCTAAGGACTAACCTTTTAACGTGTGATTGCTAACACGGTTGCAGAATCATCCCAGCTTCAACCAGATAAATTAATTTCAAATGAATGGTTTTCTGGTCCTGATTTTCTGAAAAAACCAGAAGAATCATGGCCAATCGAAAATAAAAGACCTTCCTATTCGAATGAAAATGACGTAGAGCTGATGAGAAATCAGAAAATTAAAACATGTTTTGTCATTTTCCAAAAGTATGAAGAATGCCTCCCAGACATACGACAATTTTCGAAGTGGAATACACTGATCAGGACCACCGGATGGTGTTTGAGATTTTTTGAAACTGTAAGGAACAAAGAAAAATTTCCTACAAACCTAACAGTAGAGGAAATTCTGAAAGCTGAGAAGATATGGCTGAAACATGTTCAACAAGAGTGTTTTCCAGAAGAAATACGAAAACTCAAAACTGGAAAGTCCCTGAGTGGTCAAAGCAAACTAGCCTGTTTATTTCCAGAAATGAAAGATGGAATTATGGTATTGAGTGAACGAATGAATTTTACAGAATTTATGGCAGAGAGCACACGACAACCCATCATTCTGAGTCCAAAACATGAATTCACCAGATTGTTTATACAAAATGATCACGAAAAATTTCATCATAGAGAAGTAGAATTAGTCATAAATGAAATCAGACAGAAATACTGGGTGATAAACTGTCGAGAGCTGCAGTCGAATCAGCATTCTCAAGCTGTTTGAAATTTAAGATTGGGAAAACCAAACCTTCACCACCTCTAATGGGTCAACTACCTGAAACACGATTAAAGCTCTATCATTAACACTGGAATGGCCTATTTCGGCCCAATTATGGAGAAGATTGGTAGGAGATGCGAAAAAAGATGGAGTGTGCTAGTCGCATGCTTGGCAGTTGGAGCTATCCATCTAGAAATTGCACATAGTCCGAGTAGCGATTCCACGATTTGGTCAATACTAAGAATGTCGGCTAGAAGAGGACAACCTCAGGTCATATTCTGCGATAATGGAACAAATCTGAGAGGTGCTGCACACGAAATTCGCCAAGCTATGGAAGGAATAGATCGAACAGCGATCACTGATTCTTTGTCGTCAATAGGTATTGGCTCCCAATTCATTTCACCGCCTGCTCCCCAAATGGAAGGAATATGGGAGATGTTAAAAGGTTCAGTGAAAAGTTTCATGGGCAAAGTACTCTACGACTCATCTCTGAAAAAAGAAACTTTAGAAACTTTTTTTGCGGAAGCGGAGAAAATTGTTAATTCCCGTCCATTGACAAAAGTTTCGATGGATTCAGCGGATGCAGAAGGACTCACTCCGAATAATTTATTGATTGGCTCTTCCAACGGAGAAGGTGATTTGGTACCAATCAATTCAGATTCGAATACTCTGAGAAGAGAATGGAAAATTTCTCGAATACTAATAAACTTGGTTTGGACCCGCTGAACAAGAAAATATCTGCCAACTTTGTCGAAGCGAAGTAAATGGACTGATGACTGCAAACCCATAGCACTCAATGACATGGTCATTCTGGTCGACGATCAAGCATCACGCTATAAGGGGAAATTAGATAAAATAATATCTGTTCATCCAGGAGTTAATGGCAGAATTCGAGTGACGTAAAAACCTCAACTTCGGAATATACGCGCCCAGTCACGAAAATTTGCAGATTGGAGCTAGAGGAAAAGTAATTCCTCCAGCGGGGGGAGAATGTTATATTGATTTGTTCATCTTTTTATTAGTTTGCCTTGAATTGTATTCAATATGATCCTGTAGATTACAAAACAAAATGTTTTGGAAAGTTACTGATAATTTTTCAAAGAAAAAGTGAATAAAAGTTCATCCCGACTGAAAATAGGATTTATTGGGCATTTTCGAGTTTGATAATTATCAAGGAATCAACACTGATAAATTGTCACATATAATTTTTTTAATAGAAAAACTAAATAAAAATAACCATGTATTGTTTTGTAAGATTTTTTTTATTCGCTTCATTTCATTGTATTTCTTACAAAATGATACATGAAAAAGTAAGGTTTGCTTTATTTAAATTACTCACATCTGAATATTCCGTAGGTTCTTTTTCTCCAATTTGTAGAATGAATTCAATAGATTTTTTAGCATCTTCGCTCTCTGGCTCTACCGGCGGATCAATTTTGCTCATATTGTTCACAATGTCGTATATAGATTCGTGTATATTCTGCTTTATTTGGACAATCTTCTCTTTTTTCTCACTGAAATGGACATTTAATCTTCACGCGGTTTCTGGTTATGATTGCATTCTTTGCACTGCATAATGGAATTTGAGTTACAAAAAGCTAGTAGGATTACTGAATCACTTTTCCTAAAATATGTTTTCATACCATTTTGAAAAGATGAATGGCAGGGTTTAAGATACCTTTTGGGTAATTAAATAAAATCTGTTTGAAATCTGTTTTCCGTTAACCAGCTGTCGCACCCCTACGACCGACAACCCTCAGAAGTCGAAACTTGTGCGAGCTAAGGATTAACGAGGTCTTACCTTTTAAAGTGTGATTCCTAACACGGGTTTGAGAATAGCAAGTGAAAATCGATCGTTCAGACTGGGGCTTGAACCACCGACCAACACGGCAGTCAATTCGAGTGAGTGAACAAAGTACCCAGGTCGAACCGCCTGGCTACCGTCCGCCAAGTACTGATTGCTTTATCAAAAACTTCGGTAATTCAGAGGGCTACTGTATGTACATGAACATTTTTAAGGTTGACACGATATTATTTTCAATAATTCATATCTCCCCAGTATGATTATTCTTAAAATAACATTTAAATTGACAAAATTCAGAGTCCTCTGTAAATTGCGTTTGATAACTTCAACTCACCTTTCGGAGAATCCGTTGATATGCAAAATCTTCATTTGTTTTATGATGGTGGTTTTACCAGATTCGCCAGTGCCTAACAGCAACAGTTTTTTAGTGTTCAAGAACTTTTTTGTGTACAGAACGTGCTCGTTATCCACATTTTTAATTTTTTTCTTTCCACACCCCATTTTCACCTAAACCAGAATGTTTATAAATGACTTATCTAAGCAGTTTCCTTACGAATTTACTATCTGATTTGCCGTTCTGAAGTGATCAAGGAATATTTCGTACGAGTGTATTATCTCGAGAAATATACCTATATCTTATCGATAAAAAAGTACCGAGGAAATTGATTGCACTGTTCAATGAAATCGGTAATCAAGCACTATGAGTAACTTTAATTGATGCTTTTTAGACATTTTTAAAATGTTTGCTGCAATTTGACGTGCCTATCTAAGCGGATCCCTGGAAATATGTTATTGGAATAAGATTAAAAATTAACCAAACAAATTAAATTTTTTGAAATTTGAATGACAGTAATAAACAATGTTTAACATGATACATCTTAGCAACTTCTAATACTTCACAAGGGACGGATTCAGGGGAGAGGTAATTGTGATAATTAGGTACCTCTAACATCAGCATTCAATACATTTCAAATGATTTCATAAACCACACCTCACAATTTGATCTCCACAAACTTTATTTGAAAAATATATCACGACATATTTCGCTAATACGGTAGCTTCTTCAATAGTGATTTGAATACTATGCTAATATTTATATACCACAGGTAACTACAATTGGGACTATCTGAAGATAATCATAATTGAAGAGGTACCTCATGTATATAAGAATTGTAGAGGTTTAGGTAATTTGATGGAGGTACTGGTATATGCGGTATATAAATATTAGCGTAAGAAGCAACTTGTAGTATTCAAATCACTGTTGAAGAAGCTACTGTTTTAGTGAAACATGTCGTGATACATTTGTCAAATAAAGTTTGTGGAGATCAAATTGTGAAGTGTAGTTTATGAAATTACTACGGATCTTCATCAAGTAACGGCCGTATCAATCAGAAAAAACATTTCAAATGAGTAAGTATTGTAATAAATGCAGGCACATACTTTCACATATAAATTAACTCCTTCTGAGAATTGCTCCTTCTGAAAATCATAAATTACCCCTTCACCCCGAAAACGTTCAAATTAGAATATTTTTTTTTGGATAGTATTTATATATATGGAGCTTCGCCAATAATCTTTCCCTATAACTACTACATTTTATTCATAAGAGTCATGTGCTTGATTAGGCAAACATCACAAATCACACGCAATCTTGAAATCCTACAACATCGAAGGAAGATTGGGCACTCGTATTATACAGGCTGATAGATATGTTATCGAGTTTGAATGTGTTATCAAGTGTGAATCAAAAAAGTAATGGTACTCGGGGACACAATACCCCAAAAAAGTACTTCGGTGCACCGCGCTGATGAAGCCAATTAACCAGAATTACGTGTCCGCAGTTTGCTCATTTTTTGGAGTGTTGTGTGCATGAGTTCTACTGGTCTTGATTTAAATCATTCGCACTCGATAAATCTATCTACAATCATATTCTGAACACGGATGTTACGTAGGAAGCTATGGCTGACTTCCCATTCCAGTTATTCATATCTATACATTCCATTTTCAAGCAAGCTCATTCTAATACCACTAAAATGTGTTCTGTCTTTTCTCCTTTTCTCATATATTGTGATTTTCCCTACCTCTTTTTCATATTAAAATGCTGTAACCCTCAGACATTTTTGTAGATCAGATTAACTATACTGTAAAAATTAGTTGATTACAACAATTTTAAATTCCAAACTTTCCATTAATTTTCATTACTTCCACATTTTTCTGATGCTAAGCTAGTTGAATGACGAACTGTTTGAAATACCTACCTGCGAATTAGTATATCATACCTCTCACAACCGAAATTTGTGCATTTTCGCTTCGAACATTTTTGCCAAGGTTCCATTAACCTTGAAAAGGTCTTTGTCTAATTTTCAGAGTTTTCAATCAGACATTCCTAACGAATGATGGTAGTAAAAATATATCATTAGTTTTTTCACAGTTTTCTATAAAAATATCCATTTTGAACGAATTTCCATTATTTATTGTCTTCTTTGGAAACATCTAAGATTTGATAAGTAACTCTATTTTCTCCGAAATTCTCATATTTTCGAAAAATTCTCTGATAACAAACTACGCTGTTAAAATATTGAGCTCTCGTAGCCGATCTTGATTTAGCCTCACCTATTTTTGAAGTGGCGTGTCCACTAGTTCTACTGTTTTTGATTCATATCATTCACACTTGATAATACCTATCTGCATCCTTATCCTGGACACGGACGTCACATAGGTATAGATATAGTTGCTTAGATGGAGTGTTGTCTCCTAGGAGTGCTAGGTCTGAAAACCAAATGGCGGTTGGCTCTTGTATATTTTGTTTTCTGTTTGCAGCTACCCATCTTCGCACTTGGTTGTACCGCTCTGATGAGGCCAATTGGAAAAAAAACTTATTCGCGGTTTGTCTTCTCTTTTTGAAGTCAAAATCACGACATTTCTCTGCTCACTTCCTCAACAAGGTTCTGTGTTATTTGAGAGTTGGAATATTTACAATCCATTTAAAATATAATAAACCTCAAGACATTTCGTAACCGTGTGAAAGAGCCTTTATTTTCAAAAGCTTCAGACTCAGGTGTTTTATTTTTCAACTTTTTTAATATTTTTCATTTTAAATCATATAAAAAAACAATTCGGTCAAGCCAGTCTAAACTCCCTATACTGTAGGTAAATGGACTGTCACTTATCAGAAAACAACTACCCCCCTAGCTAATACCACGAAGGGCGTTGGATTATATCAGACAAGGGTCAGTCAGTGCAGGATTCTTCACTGAAATTATTCCTGCATATGCCGTTGGCGATACAACTGCCTCAATAGATTTTCAATTATGAAGACTGGCTATAAATCAAATCATCTAAAGGACAATTCGTTCAGTATGTTGTCTGTCAAGTATGTCCACTGACTATATGTGAGAAGTTTTCTTTCCTTATACAAGGAATTGGGCAAATTTCGAATATGCAGTTGGTTACCTCGTTCCCAGGCAGATGGGGCGATGACAAACCTGTTGGTTGTTGTTTGCTTCAGCTTAGTTCGAGGAATGATACTCTGAAGGAATTCGATTGTCAATTATCGGAAATAATCGACTTTATGTTGATGATATACAAAACCTTGCATTGAAGAGTGGCCAAACAGCCAGAAACCGGTCTGCAAATGTGTTCCAATAATTGAAAATATATTGCGGCAGTTGTATCGCTAACAGCATTTATGCAAGAATAACTTCAGTGAAAAATCCTGCATTGACAGCTGTCGGATATAATCCAATGCCAATGTCACATCAAGTTTCCATTTAAATTTTAAAATGAAATGGTGAATATATAGGAATGTAGGCTTTGAAAGAGTGAAGTTATGATATACAGAAGTGGGTCACATCAAGTTTCCATTAAAAAGTTTGAAATGAAAGAGCGAAGTTATCGAAAAATGTTTTATAGAAAAATTTTGAACATTATTACAGTAGGCTTTATTCACCAATATACGGACTGCTATTGTAACCGGACCACTCTCACAACCACGAAGAAGCAAAATTACCACGTCAGAACCAAGAATCGCAATGTTCAAGTACCAAGAGGAAACCCAAAAACCCTACTAACCTGGAATTGAGATCATTGTTTCCTTATAGAATCTAGTTGAAACTAACCACTAACACATCAAGAAGTATATATTAACTTAGATTAAGAACTTTGTAAAGCCTAAACCCAAAATAACCAATTGTAAACAAATCCCGCCCTTGAAGAGGCATAAACTTACAGCAGGCCCCCACATACTACCCAATCTACAAACTGTTACAATGTATTAAAGCAGTTAACAAACATCTTGAATTTACGATGTACACCGAAAGTTAGTTTTTTTGCTTTTAGAATCGTAATCCGCTACAAAAGCAGTTTCAAAACTTATAATATTGTTTGGTTCAGAAGCTATTATGATAATGAGGTCGATAAAATGAATCTCATATGTCCCCGTTTTCAATGAAAACTCATTTGAAAAAATCTTTTTTGTTATGAAAATGTTTTAAAAAAGTTGTTTTTTCGTCATCAGATCATAATTCAACCAAAAACTGTTTCCTGATTTCGGATAAATAAAATCTCGAAAAGATACCATATACATATTTTATTTTGCATTTCATTGCGAAAAATGTTTTCTAAAAATATGGAGTTGCATGAGTATATGCGTATCTAGCAGTTTTAGTAAATTATATCATAAAAAGAAATATAATGAATTTCCAATACAATTTTATTAACAAAGTTTATCTTTTGAGAAGCTTTTGACTGTGTTTCTTCATTGAAATATTTCATTACAATTTAATTAAAAAGTAATACGACTGAAGTACTGGGAAATTCAGAATTTGAAATCATTGGGAAAGAAAGGTTTTGGCTTTTTATTGTTCCATTTTCATACAAAAAAGGGGGAATTGACACATCGATATCTGTCATTGAGGATGACCCATGTGTTCCATGTGAACTATTACCTCTTTCATATACCATATTGTGTAGCAAATCTTGTGAATGATATCTGATTCAATTCCATAACGAAAGCTTGGAATACAAACTGAATAGGAAAAAGTGTTTTTTGTATAATTCAATGTTTATATGAAAGTAGTTGTTTGGAGAGGGCGTTTTCTTTCAGTTTGCGTCTGAAAGTTACTCTTCTTTGAATGATCTACACATCGTTGTGGAGAGTTTATTTTGTAATCAATTGCTTGCCTCCTTTCTTTGGAACACTCCCACATTTTTTTGTAAAAAGATGGAGAAGTAGAAAACGAAAACCTTTCCTTCTTATAAATTGATCTCTCCTAAAAATATACCCCTTCCAATTTAGTTCCTATGGCTGGGACTAAATCAAATAGGCGAATGAATGTCATTACATACTGTCATCGATGACATGAGTAGATTTAACTCATTCATGACATAAGGTCAGTATTGATTGCTTCATCTCGTAATATTATCCAGATTAGTGCTTGAGAACCAATAAGACGAGTGTCTTATTTCAAAACATGGATGTTTGCGATTGAGAATGACGGTGTTCCATATAAGTGAAGTTTCACCTCTTTTATAAACTATATTCTGTAGCATTCCTGTGAATGATATCTGATTCAATTCCATAACAAAATTGAATGTAGTCCAACAACTGTTTGGAATCAAGCTTCGAAGAGTGAATAAACGCCTTGGAATGAGCCAATCCTGGAAGATTCTGCCAGAAGTCCATAACTCTTCTTGCCATCCAGGTGTTCAATGTTTGTTTAGCAAAGCCCAAAGCGATGCCAATGACAGGTTCTGGTCTGATGAAGCCGCTTGCAGCACCCTCCTTTGCAAGAGAGTCAGCAGCTTCATTACCTTCCAGGCCAGTATGGCCAGGAATTCAGACCAGAGACAATCTGTAAAGTCTTCCTATCAAGGAGAGTCGTTTTTGTCAATTTTCTACCAATTTAGACATTGCTCGGTAGGAGCCAAGAGCTCCCAACGCCGCTTGACTGTCCGGGAATATTTTTATTGACTTGTGAGTGAGGTTGGATTTATCCAATCTCTCCGCACATAATACAATAGCGTAAATTTCCGCTTGAAATACAGTCGCATAAGTTCCTAGGCAGGTAGATAACTCTGTCCTAGGTCTGCGACTGAAAACACCTGCACCAGAACCGGAAGGTGTTTTTGATCCATCTGTGAACCAACAACTATCTGCTCTCAATATTTTCTTCTCCCGCAGGATCCAGTCCTCTCTACTCGGGAATAGTACTTTATAAGACAGTTCGTAGTTGACAGTTGGAGGCATAAAGTCAGAGGTCAATTCCAGAATGCTGTGACTTCCAGTGTCAACCAACAGTCTGTTGCACTCTGCATTGAATTGATTTATGTGCAGAAGTCTTTATGCTGTCCATCTAGCCTCTCTTTCCAGAAAAATGTGGAGAGGAGGTAGATCTAGAAGGATCTCCATGGCCGCTGACGGTGTGGTATTGATGGCACCACTGATAGCCAGACAAGCCTGTCTCTGTAAGCCAGAGAGCTTCACTTGGACCGTTTTCTGTAAAGCCTTCGGCCACCAAGCAATTGCACCATACGTGATCATTGGTCTGCAAATCATCACATAAATCCAATGGATTTGTTTGGGACCTAAACCCCAAGTTTTACCACAAATCCTTCGACACGTCCATAGAGACAGCCTGGCTTTGCGTAAAACTTTTTCCAAGTAAGCGTTCCAGGTGAGTCTTTTATCAAGGACAATGCCAAGATATTTCACCTCCGTTCCAAATTGGAATGACCACACCATTGAAGGAAAGTGGCGTTAGATCGTCCAATTTTCTCCTCTTGGTGAAGGGGATTAACACAGTTTTGCTGGGTTGACAGATATCTATCCCTCAGGCACCAACTGTGAACAACGTCCAACGCGCTTTGGAGGATATTACAAGCTACACCTTTCCCGACGTGGACCTTGCCAGGATGACAAGGTCATCTGCATAAGCTTGCAGATCAACTTTTCTTCTGTCAAGGGTATCAAGCAGATTATCCATCAGGAGCGACCACAGAAGGGGAGATAGTACCCCACCTTGAGGGCAGCCCCTGGTGACCCTGAACCTGATAGCCTCGCCTTGAAGAGTCATAGTTGCAGTTCTGTTTACTAGCATGGCATAGATCCAGCCAGTTATGGTCGATTCTATACCCTTTCTAGCCAGAGACAATCCTATAGATTTAGGTAGTGCATTGTCAAATGCTCCTTCAATATCAAGAAATACAGCAACCGCAATCACCTTGCTGTCAAGGGATTGGGAGATTTTCTCAACGAGGTTGTTTAATGCTGAATCTGTCAATTTGCCGGGATGCATATAATGCTAACCTCCTGATATGTCCGTCCAGTATCCTCTCAAGTCCTTTCAGCAGGAAGGATATAAGGCTGATTGGTCGTACCGATTTGGGGTGTGGGTCTCTCCAGCCCACTTTAGGTATATATACCACCCTTGCTGCCAAACAACTGGATGGTATATAGTTCCACGCCAGAATAGCTCTATATAATTTTGTGAGAATAGGTAAAATTATTTCTAGTCCGTTTTGAAGAAGAGCTGAAAAGACTTGATAGCCCATTCAACTGCCGGTGCTGTGATAACCTTTTTTGCGACGTCCCAGTCGTTCTTTTTTGGGCGTTTAGCGCCCTCGAAGATGGGCGGTCTGTTGTTATCAAGAGCCAGATTTCCAGGAAAGTGGTTTTCTTTCAAAAGCTCTAACGTTTCTTTACTAGAGGTCGTAAATGTTTCATCGGGTCGTTTAAGCGACCCAATTTCAGCAGTCGGCTCTCTAGAGAGAATCTTGTGAATTCTTGCGCTGCGAGGTAAATCAGAGATACTCTCACAGAACCTCCTCCAAGACTTCTGTTTTGTCTTTCTGATTTCCTTGTCGTATAACGTCAGAGTAGTTTCATAAAGCTCCCAGTTACCTGACCAGCACTACTGGTCTTAGACCTGTTTCAATATTGAAAAGAATATATCTATGGTCTAAACAAGAAGGTTCAGTAGATACAGACCAATGGTGTATCTTGTTGCTCAGTGAATGTGAGCTGATGGTTGAATCTAATACCTCTTGCCTATTACTAGTGACAAAAGTTGGATCCGAGCCCTCATTAATTACAGACCGCCCCTCCCCTAGTACATAATAATCAACGAGTAACTCACCCCTACGGTTTATATTCGTACTGCCCCACGCTGTATGGTGTGAATTGACGTCACATCCCATTACTATTTGTAGTTTGTTCCTTTTGCTATAGTTGATAAGTCGTCTAACAGCAAGAGGGGGTACAGTATCCGAATCTCCCGGAAAGCAGGCGGAGCAGGCGTCAACTCCAAGTTTCCCTCATTTTTTGTATAAAGATGGATAAGTAGAAAGCAAAAACCTTTTTGAATTTTGGATTGCTACTAGAGTTTTTCCTTAACAAAAACAGTCACTATACGAACAAATATATATTTCTTAAAGTATTAACAAGCATATAACGATATTTTAGTCATCTACAAAAATTCTATGGCAAATATTTATACAAGTCCACAGTTGCACTGCAGATTCTTGCTCCAGTAGTCAACCCCCCACACCACATTCTGCTCATGTATGCAACTTTTCCTTCTTTCCGTTCAACTCCAAGTGCATGAGTTTTCTGAAAGGAGCAGGCCCATTCCAGTATCCATTGAGCATCAAGTGCCAGTACAGGGGCGGCATCAAGTTCTTTTTTAGGAAATACATGGAGTACAGTTCCCTGTCCTGACTGAAAGGAAAGGTCTCCAAAGGGTTCAGGTTATAGTCGAATTCTGCCAGGATGCATTTGTCGTAACCCGTGATCAATGGGCAAGAAGCGTAACCATCATATGTGTTTTGGGGCTCTTGTCCCTTCATTACTGCGCTCAAGTTTTCATAGACAACTGCGCTCTGAGCGGCTGGAAGAAATGAGCTTGAATAAGTACAAAAGATTGTGTAAAAAAATAACGGGATAATTTATGACGACAATAAAACTATTTTGAGTGTTTACCTCCAAAAAATAGAACCCTTTCGAATAAGATTTAGATAAAAACAGTCATTAAACTTGCCAATAACACTTTTTATAAAACAAATATCCCATGTACAGGCTGTTTCTTTCATCATGTGGTAACATTGCTATATTCTAAGCAGTAACAGATATCAAGACGATTAAATGGGAAAAAAGTAACTATCGTGGGGAACAGTACAATGGGCAAAGAAAATTTAAAGGTACTTTCGCCCTTCCTAAGTTACACAGGAAAAACTGAAGATGCTGTTGTAATAATGAATTTTGATTTAACGTTTCGTATCTACACTGCTACCAAGGCGGTGGTGTCGAACTTGTCTCTTTTATTACAAATGTTGATAAAGCGATACAATCACAATTCAGTGGTATATCTCACTTGATATTTTTTGTGTTTCATTTAAGATAAGTAGCATTATGATATCTGAGAACGTGTTTCCAAATGGATTTAATCTCCAACAATTCAAATCCAATGTGAATTGCTACTTTCGCACAGGCCTTAGGACGTCTTGAGGATTTTTCTGTAGCTTTTGTGTTTTGTTTGAAAAAACCATCAAACAAAAAAAAATTCATTTTATAATAAATTTCTGGGGGAAAATAAAACCAATATAAAAAATGAATGACAAACTACATTGACTGCTCGAATTGACGACCTCTTTGATGAATGCACGTAATTCAGTTTTACTAGTTAGGTCGTCCATTGTTTAATATGATTCGAATATCAATTATATACAAGCAATAAAATGTGAAATGTAAATACAATAAAATGAAGTCCGAACTAATAAAACTCACCATGAAATATCGTCAACCTCATTCAAACAATTGCACATAAGTTGTCTGTCCATACAATTTCTGTAGCAGTTTTCTAGCATGATGTGTGTAATGTAAGTACATGCATCTCTTATTTTTGTTTGAGATGGTCGATATCTGTATTAGATATCGAAAAAATCTTATCCTATTTATATATCTAGACAAAAATCTGAAGGAGTTAGGTCTGGGGATCGAGCTGGGCAGGTATTAGGTCCAGTGTTTCGAATTCACTTTGTTGGGAATATCTAAATGTTCCCCTACTATTGCTGTATTATATGGAGGGACACCGTCTTGTTTAATATATTGATAACAGGCGTTTTTTTTATCAACTTCAATTCCACGAGTAAAAACGTAACAATACCCATCATTTGATCAATCAACTAAGTTCATTTAGTATAAAAATGATTGTCACGGATCTTACTCGAGCATCACAATACATGGCAACAACTTTTGATTACTTCTGCAGTAATTCATAAAAAACTTCGTGTTAGGTTGCCCCCTCAGACCTATCCGATCATGAAGCTACTCTTGGCACCATACTGCTTGACATGAAAACTCCTATGAGTAAGACACGCCCGAGGAAGCCATTGTATGGCGAAACACGTGTTGCCTTTTTGTAAAACTGTCTAGTAAAAATCTCACAATGAAGTGTTTTTAGAATACGTTTAAAAACTCCTAAATCTAGGATCGAATTAAACCGTCTATTAAGTATATTTGCAAACATCCCCGATTCTGCTCTCGAAGTATTAACAGATCTCATCAACCAGTCACTCCAACAGGGTGTTTCCTGAATTTTTGGAAACTTCAATTATAACACCACTACACAAAGGAGGCGAACTTGCTAACTCATCAAATTATTGTCCGATATCTCTCATATCTCTCATACCTAAAATATTTGAAAAATTAGTTCAGAAGAGAGTAATGGAATTTCTACTTAACAATAATATCTTGATCGAGAACCAGTTTGGATTCCAAAGGCAAAAGAGCACCAATGACGCAATATTTTCCTTTCTTACAAAAGTTTTTTGCAATGAAATTAATGAAGGATAGGCAGCAGCAGCGGTGTTCTGTGACTTATCCAAGGCATGTTGTAAGTCACGAAATTCTGATGGGCAAACTCGATTACTATAGTATTAGAGGAATCAGCTAGCAGTGGTTCAAATGCTTGTCTTCAATGCTACCAAGTTTAATCTATTAATATTCCGCTGTGAGCTTTCTTCCCTGAACTTAGGCACAAAAAACATTAAAAATGTTTCCTCCACTAGATTTCTAGGAATTCACATTGATGATAAATTAAAATTTAACGACCATTTCACGAAATTGTGCAAAAATTTGTCATCTGCATGATACGTCATTAGGATAATATCACATGAATTGGGTTTAACAGCTGCTAAAACAACTTATTTTGCTGTTATTGAAGCCCACCTAGTCTATCGCATAGCCTTCTGGGTAGTGTGCAACAAACAACTCCTACATATGATGCAAGTTGTACAAAAAAAGAGTCATGAGGGCTCTCAGTAAAGTAAAAATGTGTGATTCTTGCAGGGACCTTTTCCAAAATAATAGAATCCTCAAACTTACTTCAATCTTTATTTTAGAAACCACTTGCTTAATACACAAGAATCGTAATAAATATATTACAGTGTTCCCATGACATAACAGGTGATCATCACAAAAATTGAGATTACCTCTGCCTCAAAACAATCTTGTTAAGGAATCTCTCATTTATAATGGACTAAAAATTTATAATTGCTTACCACTAAGCTTAAGGGTAATTGAATCATTATAAATCATTCACTCATCCATTATAAAATATGAATGAATATTTTAGTAGTGAACCTTTTTGTTGCTATTAAAATACGATTTTCTCCTTATTATGATTGATTTTAATATGTTTTCATGTGACTGGCTGTACCTTCGTGTTAATTTTGCTAGCTAGCATTTGGCTTGTACATTTTACACATTTTATCATTATTAAGTCTGTATCAGTACCATTTTATTGTTTTTAAAATTTCAACTTGTTTTACCTATACAATGACTTTGTCAATAAGAACTGTTTCTTCTGACATTAAAACATATTAGATTGATTGATTTTATGGCGGATGTTCAGTGGCAATTCATTTAAGTTGCCAAGAAATCCATTACACAAAAATGTAGAATCATTTCGCGATTCAAATGCTTATCGTAAAAGAAAGTACCTGGTATGTTTGTTCTCAACCAAAGATTTATTCCGAACTATTCCTGGAAAATGTAACTAACATATTTTAAATTGAGAAAAAAGTGTTTCACAGGTCTTAACAGATTTATTATTCCCTTCATAGAAACCAACAAAAGCCTACGTGTTTAAAAAACGTAAGTAGAGTGAGATGTTATTTAATTGTACCAAATCACACAACAATCATCTTTAGACCCAAAACGAATATTTTCGTTACTTCTAGGAATAGAACTATGAGAATATTCCAGAATAAAATTTGATTCAGGAAAAATCAGTCTTTAAACAAGGATTACTGTGATACAAAAATTTCCAAAAGGAAAAAATTCAAATGTTCATCGTGGCTGGGCTATCTTATTATCAAAATCGTAGTTCATCTCTACTGCAGTCCAACAACTGTTTGGTATCAAGCTTCAAAGGGTGAATAAACGCCTTGGAATGAGCCAATCTTTGTTTGGCAAAGCCTAAAGCCATGCCAATGACAGGTTCTGGTCCGATGAAGCTGCTTGCAGCACCCTCCTTTGCAAGGGAGTCAGCAGCCTCATTGCCTTCCAGACCAGTATGGCCAGGAATCCAGGTCAGAGAAAATCTGTCAAGTTTTCCTATCGAGGAGAATCGTTTTTGGCAATTTGCTACCAATTTAGACGATGCTAGGTACGAACCAAGAGCTTCCAATGCCGCTTGACTGTCCGAGAATTAAATGATGTTATTATTGATGAAAAAAACAGAAACAGCATTTTTAGTCTTTCCTGCATAACTCTAGAAAGCGAAAGCGACTGAAAATATTCTTTCACCATTGTACTGTTCTCCACCATGGTAACCTTTCTCCCATTTATCATCTTCATATCTGTTACACTTTAGAATAAATCACAATGTTACCTCATGATGAAAGAAACGGCCTATATATATTCTACAATACCCAAAACTTCCAGACCGATCCCAACAGTATTTCAAAGTGGTGTCATGCAAATGGTATTCTCTTAAATTATGATAGGCGGGTTGGCTGTCCTTGTTCATCTTTCACTGTCTGAACCACTGTGCATGATGTTTTCGGCGAGTGCATTGGCTTGAGATGTGGAGGTTGAGCAAACCGGCCATCGGATACCTGCTGGATACCTAGCCCCGCTGGACTGGATACGGAAATGACAGAATCACTTGTGGTTCTGTTATTCCCTAACGATGACAATCCTAAGGTGTATGTATCCGTGCCGAGTGGATGAATGACACTGAGCCTATCAGCTGTCTCCACGGAACCTTCGAGAAACCGGACGCCCTCTCGTCGTAGCATCGCCTTGTCACGGTAATGCGGAGCTCTGCCGTGATTGACCTTCATTCCCTAGCTACTCGTGGGACTTTTATGGACAGAGTAAACTTAAAAATTCTTTCTTACGCATTACGCTGTGTCTATAGAGGAGATGGATGTCGAGCTTACGACTCCTACTGACCTCCCTGTAAACTTAGATCAGGAGCGAGTCTACAGAGGAGATGGATGTCGAGTTTACGACTCCAACTGACCTCCCTGTAAATTTAGATCAGGAGCGAGTCTACAGAGGAGATGGATGTCGAGTTTACAACTCCAACTAACCTCCCTGTAAATTTAATTCACGAGCGAGTCTACAGAGGAGATAGATGTTGAGTTTACGACTCCAACTGACCTCCCTGTAAATTTAATTCAGGAGCGAGTCTACAGAGGAGATGGATGTCGAGTTTACGACTCCAACTGACTTCCCTGTAAATTTAGTTCAAGAACGAGTTTACAGAGGGGATGGATGTCGAGTTTACGACTCCAACTGACCTCCCTGTAAATTTAGTTCAGGAGCGAGAGCTTCTCAACTCCCCAACTCCTGATCCAACAACTGAACCTAAAAATAAAA